GACTTCTGAAGTGCCCGCTTGAGAGTGTCAACAAAGCGTTCCGCTTGGCCGTTCGACTGTGGATGAAACGGCGGCGAGCGAATATGCGTTATGCCATACTCCCGACAAAAGTGTGCGAACGCCGACGACGTAAACTGACTGCCGTTGTCGGATACAATTGTCTCTGGCGTTCCAAACCGACGGAACAATCGCCGGAGTTCCAGGACTGTAATGGCAGTTGTGGGGCTGTTCACCGGAAAGAATTCCGGCCACTTACTGTAAGCGTCGACCACGACCAAAAGGTGTTGGCCACCCACTGGACCTGCATAATCGATGTGAAGACGAGACCAGGGTTCAGTCGGTTGCGGCCACGAGCTTAGGTAGGTTTTCACCGGTGACTCGTCTTGATGCCGGACCGGCAAGCGTCCCGAATTTTGGGCCAACCTCGAGCGGGCCAGGCTTCTCGGCCGTAGCAGCGCCTAAAGACGTGCGGCATAGTGGGATCCGCGTGGAATACTGTTCATCCAACATCCAGCAAAAAGTACAATATCCGGTCGAACAAAAAGTGGCACGAAAACGTCACGTAAATTTTTATGCAGAGGTGTGCCATAGGTCACAGACTGTCTGATGGGGCAGTAGGAGGTAGCCAGGAAAAAACATCAACAAAGCAAAAGCTAGAAAACTTCGCAAGTGCTGACGGCTCGGTCAATGAAACTGCCATTTCTCCACGGTGCTCCTTTCGATTGCCACTGTCACTAACCCATCCAGAGTTCCTGACCACACAACAGCTGCCAACGATAAGTTATCTGGCTCACAAAGAAGGAACTACAATTGTTGGGGTATGTTCACCGGTGCGGATATTTTTCGAGGAACTTGGAAAAGTACTGTACTAGGCTAGATGAGAAAAACGCATGCCTATCGATAATGCGACAGGATAAGGAAAGTTTTCTACGTGCACTTAATACATCGCTTCCAAACACCACCCTGGTATACTTCACACTTGACGATTCAATGCAAAAAGGAGTCACTGGAATATGGACAGGGTCACATTAGGACTACGGAAGAAGTGCTACCGGACATGATAAGGACCGTTGGATCATATCCATTGTTTCAGACCTCCACAACAGGATTACGGGGCACGGAAACACTGCATTCACAGCGTCTGCGGCGAAGGAATCATTCACAGATGTGCGGTTGGAGAAATGCATACGTACAATCCTTCCCTAAATTCATCCGTTTTGGTAGACCAATATGACGAAAATTCGTTGCCTGTTGAGAAATATACGCAATACACATCCCACCTATTGAACATGGTTGAGATGATTTAATAATGGTACGATCAGATGGGGATGTTTTAGGCTATTGATGCGAGTCACTTACAAGCGTCATCTGGTCCTGATAGTACAGCGACTGCTTGCACCTACATGTTTAGTTAACATATGACCCTTACACGTGTTTTTGGTCTTGACAGTACCGATATGGCTTGCCAGAGTTGAGAGGCCCAATGTTCAGAATCTGTAAGACGGACGACGAAACCGAAAGCGGTTATTAGACTACGTTTTACGTTGCGAGAATGGGCTAGAATAGACTTCCATGAGAGCCACAATGGTTCCACCGAAAAAGGCCCGGCTACCTGTCTGCAGTAATAAACAGACATACAACGTGTAATATCAGTTGTGAAAACTCCTATGCCCATTTCATCATGGACTTCATAGCAATGCTTCACGTGTTTTTTGTCATTTGGGGATTGGCAAACATTAAATTCTATTGTCGAAAAAAGTAATGTCACGTTCTTAAATTACACTAAGTAAAGTTTGTAGATAGTAAGAGTTTCTTGTGACGAAACACTTGCAGTTCGAGTTTGTCGTGGGGCGTAGCAAGTCTAGTTGAGTCTCTTACGATATTCTTCAACTGGAGTTCGCCTACTTGATGAGATCCATTAACGATGATACCGGTCATGGGCCGTTGAAGTTTTCAGTAAACTTATGAGTAGCTTCCTTCGTGGAAATATACATCGATTTCTAGAATATCGTACTAAATGAAGCATGAGACGGCCTGGTGCAACACATCCTGCTGAAGAATATTTCCTGTTAACAACGATTAGCTGTGTAAATGAGTGTATTTCGCAAACTCCCCACAATTCGGATTCAAGCAGACCATCAAGTAGACAGGTACAAGGCAACCTCAACTACCTGATGAGCCCTTAAAAGGGAACAACCGGTCGTCGGTTGTCGGAGGACCACATTTCGAAGGTAATTTCGGTAACAAAGTATGGGAGAGCATTTCAGGACGCAAGCATGTCGTATGAGAGAGTGGGCCGTATTTCGAAGGTTCGGTAACAAAGTATGGGAGAGCATTTCAGGACGCAAGCATGTCGTATGAGAGAGTGGGCCGTGACAAGGAGTCTTAACATGGACTACTGATGAGCAAATTTGCATCAGCTGCAACAGCTGCAACTTCTATCGGTTTCGCACACCATCCACATTAAACAGGCGATGAGTGACGGTTTGCTTGAGGAACAGTATTCTTCGAGCCTTGGAGCCGGATATACAGTGAATCACATCTACCGTCGGATGGAAGCAATCGTATTTGAGATATTTCTTTGGAGAAAACCGCTCTGTCGCTGGCACTTGGACAACAGAAAAATGGGTTTACTCCAACTTCACGATGAAATCCTAATTAAAATTCACATAAAACCCCCATTCCAAACGAAGAAAATGTAAGCTGTTGGGGAAAAGATCTCACGAGTAACACAATCCTTGTGTCCGAAAAACTGTTTCCTGAGGCCAGGCACATCAACCTGGATAGCGTGTTGGATGGATGCGCTATATGTGTGCGAGGCAGTATCCCTAGAACAATACCCGCCTTCAGAAAAAAATCATAGCCGCAACCAAGTAGAGGTTAGTTAGGTGAGAAACTGTTTGCTGTTATGGGTAAACGTAGCCAGGTTTTGTGAAGGCCAGGTATGCTACTTTACATTATATATATATATATATATATGGGAGTGCTTCTATTTCTTGTCACTTAATCCTAGGCAGTATAAAAATTTGTCCCGTTGATCTCCGTTCCTTGAATGATGGTCTGAAATACCTGTCCCACAGCTCCTCTCCCGCTTTTTTTACCATCACCATCACCACGGTAAATGCTACGCTGAACTCGCTTCTTCGTCCGATCGCTACAACCATACTGTTGCCAAGCCCACCCAAAGCTCCTCACTTCACCAAAACCAAACTTCATCCTCCGTTTGCCAGAAAGAACTACTTCCATCCGTGTATTTCTCTAGGATTACTCCTATTTGAAATGATCTTCCAATTTCTCTCCAAATTCTTATGACCTTTATGTCTCAGTTTGAAGTTCATCTGCCTAAACAATCATGACAACTGTGATAGATCTACAGGTTAACTTATTTTACACGTCAGAGGGAACCACCTAGTAGACAAAACTATGAAAAACTGTCAACCTCAACCGATTAAGTAGGAAGGAATTTGCGTAATTTGGTAAGATAGTACAGCGTACGACGTCACCTGCCAACACCACCTTTGCGACACCACAAAAGCTAACAACTGAATGCAGCTACAGAGGGAACAACGGCAACATTACGAAAGAATAACCAGAACTTACCTTTCTACCTCTCTTGCAATCAAACCGTATGCAACGTAGGACACACCAGCGCATCCGTAGTCGGGTATGAAGGACCCTAACAAACCCAACTCTCCGAATTCCTTTAAAATGTGTCGATCAAACACTTAAGGGAATGTGGCGAATCAAGATAGAAAGCCAAAATTAGGAAGAACTACCTTCCAAACGATTTGCAAGCAACACCCTCGGGAAGAGTTTCTCTTGACAAAACGAGCGACATTGGTCGCGAATGATGTGCTCTTGTTCAGATAGACCATCGTCCAAGTTTAGTGCATCCTGCCATCTGAATACAGCTATCCAAGTTCACATTTTGCTCCTAGCAAAAAGTGTTACCTTCTCCATGGGATTTCGAAAGATATCGGAAAATCTTCTGCGGAAAAGAATGAATGTGTTTTGTTCTCCATAGATGAAAAGACATCTTAAAGGAAACGGAAGAAGCTGAAACAACAAAAATGTGTTACGCCAAGCGGACATGATACAGATGAAAACTCGAAGGTTACCAGTCACTGTGTGATGATCGTAGAACGGGCAAAATATTCTCTGATGGAAGGTTGTAAAAGGTACCATAAAAAGCCGGGAGCTGAGGTGAAGTGAAGCATTACAGAATACAAGTCCAAATCTACATACACCGTTGAAATCTGCTTCAGAAACGCGGCGGAACGAAGTAATCGGTCACTGTCATGAATATTCTTTGTGCTCACATTATCGTTTTGTATTAACCATGCTTTCGCCTTCATTTTCAGCTTATGTACGTCTATTCTTAGACAAGTAAAG